TATTATAAAATTCCTTACCCTTATCTACATGTAATTTCTTAGGTACATTATGTTTAAATATTTGTGAAAAAGCCTCAGATACTTCCAATCCACTTTTTGTTTTCAAAGCTACAGAATAAACTTTTTTAGAAAATGTATCAATAACATTAAGAATATATTTAAAACCATTATTAGCTTTATATAAGGCTTTATGGTTATCATTAACTTTAATTTCATTATGTTTATTTCTTAAATTATAATTGGGATCACTATTTGTAGATTTCGGTCTATAAAAACAGTACAAATCAGCCTGCCAAGTTTCATTTATACCTCTTTGTATAAAATGTCTTGTTTCAAAATGTTTTCTAGCTGGTTTAAATAATTCATAAGCTTCTATAAGTTCTGGTGGTTTTGATATATTATTCTTATTTGTATTACATATTTTACATACTGATAACCTCCTATATTTATTATTTTTTTTAATAAATTCAGGAATACCTATACTTCTAGTTTGAGATTTACAATTTTTGCAATAGTCCATTTATTTAAGATATATATATTTTATATATTTTCTCTAATTGTATTATTGATAAGATCATAAAAAATTTCTGTACCAGATACTAAACAAATATAGCAAATGGTATTGGCAGGCACATCTTCGTTGAAATCTACACGTAAGATAATACTTGTTTTAGATACAGAAACATCTGAGGGTTGCCTGCTCATATCAATTACAAAAAACGGTCTGATTTTTTTAAATTCCTCTGGAGTTATATACATTAAAGATAAATCTCTATGTGCTCTATTATAAACATTCTTATAACTCATTAACATATCATAAGCAATATTAAAATAGCCTTTTTTAAAATCTAAGTTTAATAATTCTTCTGGATACCTTATACCATCAATTTCCAACCAAATATTTTTCAAATTACAATTACTAAACTCTATTGGGTCTCTCAATTGATTATTTAATCTATCTGTCTGAAAAGCTACGATAGCAAATAAAGGATTATGGACATTTCTATATAGATTTGTTATATCTTTGTTTAGTGTTTTACCAGTAATATTACTTTCAATACATTGCCATGATTTGAATCTGAATAGATATTCATTTCTCCTGGACAATAAAGTTAATTCATTTATCAATTTATATTTACTCGAATCATCATAAGTCACAATTGGTATTCTAATAAGTAATTCTTCAATAACAACTTTTCCAACTCCAGGCACCACATCTGTTTTATCATTCTTATCTCTAAATAAAGCATCATCGTCACTACGTCTTAAAAAACTTATTTCAAAACCACCTTTATATACTGGGTATTCTATATCTTTAAAAAATCCTAAACACAAATTAGATAATTTACCAACAGCACTAAAATAACCACCACCACTACATTTTGACTGAAACCCACTATTTATTGTTGGCCCACTAAGATCTGCAGAATAACTAATTGTACCTTTAATTAAACTACATCTACCAACATTATCAATTCTATCTAATTCTTTACCATGTTTTTTAATACAAATTGACTCAAACAAAAATCCAGGAAAATTATCAACTAATATTACATTTGATCCTTTAGGATAACTAGTACCATCAGCTTGTAAAACTTGGCCAGAAATTTGAAACTTTGCTTTTTTAACATTTAAGAAACTATTTTCTTCATTTATGTTAAAAGCAGTAATTTTGTTAGGAGCATTAAGACTTGATGTTGATATAGGGTAAAATACTTTATCCTGTTCGCGGATAATAGCATAGTCATAATTAGCAAATATATTTTCCATTTATAAGGAAAAAAATTTAATAAAGCTTTATAATTTAAAATTCCTAATAAAATATAAACATAAATGACCACATATAGGTGGATCAGTATAAGTTTGTAGTTGATCAGTGGTGTAATATAAATCATCTTTTCCTAAATAATTTACAATTTCTTTAATTGGAGGAGAAAACCCATAAGAGTCAAAATATACTTTTATATTATCATTTTTTAACCATGCAACCCAATGTGAACCAGGTTGACTAGAATTATTTAAATTTAATATTCCACATTCATTTTTCCAAGGTTTTGTTGGTAACTCATCTTTCATAAAACAACCTCTAAAATTCTTAATATTTTTTCCTGCTTTAATAATATCAAAATTAGTTAATGGTTTTATTGCTTGCTTTTTGCAAGCAGGTCTTGCGAATATTTCTTTTTTTTGTTCTTTATTTTGTTTTTTTTTAGACCTGAACCAATCTGTAAAGTCTTAATTTTTCTAACATTTTCTTCCATCACTCTATCATGTCTTTCTGTCTCATCTCGTTTTAATTTCTTATCTTTTGCATCGATAACAGTATTTGCAATAGCACTAGCACCCCCTGCTAATGCGCTAAGAGCACCTATACCTGCTATAATAAGAGGTAAAAAACCACCTACTTTATCTTTATTTCCAAATTGAGATTTTGTAATTTTTAATCTCACCCCCTTTTTATCTTTTTTAGCTTTAGTTAACTTATTATTTTGTCGATCAGTTAAATTAAATTTGTTTTTGCCATTACCAATCTGTGTGTGTTTTAATTGAATAACTACATCACTTTTTTTTTCGAAAGCTCTTACAAGCTTTTTTATTTGAGAATCATTCAAATCTAAATCCATTTAATACAAATAAAATTTATTAAAAATTAAATATTACCCATACCAAAATACCTTTTTGCTTTCATTGTATTTGTGGTGATATAAGCAGCTGCTTTTTCACCTATAGATGCATCTGGGGCTAAAAGCCTACCCCATGCTTTATCTTCCAAAATTTTATCTCCAATATGTCTTGTTTTAATATCTTTATGTTTTTTATAAAAATAATCATGTTCCATTGCTGCCATATCTAGTTTATTTACTGGCTTCTTATTTTTTTCTAAATCAGTAAAAGGGCCAAGATAATTATAACCAGGCCAGTGTATTTCTGGCATAAATTTACTATTTAAAAGATTATTCATAAGACCTGAACCTTCTACAAATTTTTCAGGCAAACTTGATACATAAGATATTAAATATTCAATCCCTTGTGGAGTACTAGCTAATCTTTCCAACTCAGAACTAAAAAAATGTATAATATCAATTTTTTCATTATAAAAATTATTATGACCTGCTTTTTCTTCACTAGCGATAAAATATAATCTCTTTAATAACTCATTTAAATTATGTATATATCTATACTCAATATGATCTTCTGTATATTTCATTAAACCATTTCCTGTTAAAATTTGTGGTTTATTATCTCTACTTTTATTTTTTGGTGATGTCGGTGTTGATGGTTTAATCTTTTGCCAAATTGGTTTAATCATCTCATTATATTTAGCAGATGTACTTGATTTAGGTCTAGGTATAGTTTTGGTACTATCATTATCTTGATATATTGAATCTGTTTCAATTAATATTTTTTCATAATTTTCAAAATCTTCTGTTGTGTAAAAGCCTGGTTTTGTAACTTCTTTATGAGTTAATAATCTCCACATACCTGGGGTCATGGTATGCTTTTTTCCATTTATAATTATATCATCTAAATCAAAAATTATTGGACATTTTCCGATCATATGTTGTTCAGTATCATCATTATAATATATTCCAAAACTATTAGTTTTTTCTAAAGTAGGTAAATATTTCTGTGCATTTTCGCCTAATATTATTACATCTTTAGGTAAAGGAGACTGTGGTGTTACTTTTATTGGAGAATGTTTAGGTGTATTCATATCTTCCATTAGTCTTAATAATTCTGGATTACGTGGTTTATAAGGAGTTGTGTAAGTAGGTATTATCGCTTTTCGAATATCTTCATCAGTTTTAATATTTATTTCTTTAACTTCATTAACTGCATTTACAATATTTTTTAATTCATTTGTTACAGGTCCAAATGATTTCTCTTTTTCTTCTTCAATATATATGTTTCTTAAAGCTGCATTTTTATACTGCTTCTTCAGGTCATCTTTAAGTTTAATTATTTCATCTGCTTCCTTAACTGATGTTACACCTCTTCCTATTTCCACTTTTTTCATTGCAGATCCACCTCTTTTTCTATCTTTTTCTACCTTTTTCACTCCTCTTAAAAAAATATTTCTCATTTCATTCATATTCATTTAATATGAAAAAATTTTTAATAAACAAATTTATATCATTATTTAGATAGACGTTGACGCTTAACGTTGGCGTTATGTGTTGACGTTAACGTTGATTGCTTGCTTTTTTGCAAGCAGGTCTTGCGAATACGTTATGCGTTGACGTTTACGTTGGTGATTTGCGTTTATGTTTATCTGAATTTATGTTGTTGAATTTATTATAAATTTGTTTATCTATTAAATTAATCGATATAAAACCAAACTTATTTTTCCAACAAATTGAACATAAAGATTTAAATTTATCAAAAGTTAAAAAATTACTTATCTTATCTTTCCATATTTTCCTAATATAAAAATCCGACTCCTCAAATAAAACTAAAAAATTACAATTTTGTCTAATTGATCTTGCCTCTAATAAGGTATAATTCTGGCCAATATAAATACATGAAATATTTTTGGATCTGGATCTTACAAAATAATCTTTCATTCTTTCCTGTTTTTCTAAAATGTAATCATCAAAAACAACTAAACTATTTGGTTTACAATCATCAACAGATATTATCTCTTCATTGGTTATATATACCTCTTTATGTACCTCATTTCTCAAATTTGCAAATATTTCTTTCATACCTTCATAAATTGGCTGCTCTATATTTTTTGTAAAAATATAAAGATTATCAAAAGGAACCCAATAATTAACAATAATATTAAATAATAAATTAGTTTTTCCTGATCCAGAAGAACCTATAATCAAACAACGCATAGGTCTTGGAAAAATTGAATTTGATATATCATTATCTTTAACTAAATTAAATACCTTAATTTCATAATTATTATCCATTTAATATAGAAAATTAATATAAGCTTAAAAATTAAAATTCCTATTAAATTTTTTTCTTATTAAATATATATAAATATAAAAATGTCTGAATTAAAAATGTCTGATTCAATTGATTCAGTAGACTTAAAAGTTCGATTAAATAAATATGGATACAAGTATAAATTTATTAAATTATCAGAACTGGTAGCTGACAAAAGATATGAAGTTACTGCTTTTGAACTTGTTATTATTAATGGGTGGGATAAAGTATCTGTTGTATTGGATAATAAATATAAGCTCATTTTACCAGATAGATTTTTTAAGACTATTTCTGAAAATATATATGAAATGAATGATAAAGAGTGGTCTACACTTTACCTTTATTACAGGTATAAAAAAATACTTGATAATGGAGATTCATACCATCGTATAGAGTTTGAAGGTAATTCTTTTGACACTACTGTAATTAAAGTATTAAAGAAATTAAATGAAGAATATTACAAATATACAAAATTATCTGATTTAAATATCAATGAACTTTATAAAATAACAACAATTAGAAAAGTAGATACAAAATATGGTGAAAGAGTTTCTGTTGTTTTAAACAATAAGGATATACTATTATTGCCCCAGAGGTTTATTAATATTATTTCTGAGTTAGATATAAACAGATATGATGGCGAAATGTATATGAAATATAAGGGTAAAAAAACTCTTGATAATAGGAAAACAATCCATTTGATAGAATTTGACATACTTAACATTATTTTTTGTTATTAAATGAAATTAATCAAAATCATAAATGGTTCTATACATTTAGAACATTATATACATAATGAAAACCAAAGTATGTCTATTGGGTTATATGCTTTGTCTTTTACCAAGCCTGGGGATTTAATTAAAATAGAAAACGACTGTCAAATAATAATTAACACTAACGTAATTGATATCAAAAGTGGTATTTATACTATTGAAAAACTAAATAAATTAATAAATCCATTAATTATCTCTTTGATTGATAAAAAAATTAAAATAGAATCTCCATGTTACTATAGTTTGGATGAAAATTTAAAAAAATATTTAGGTTTTAAGGATATAGAATTTGCAATAACAAGTACCAAAAGAATAATTTATTATCCCACTAGTGATGAATATTACATAAATATTGAAAAAGAATGTGAATTTAGATTAGGTCGAAATGGCCAAATCCCACTAGGTACAATATTCATAGGTATTTATTCAATAGGCGAAATTGAAAATTTATTTAATTCATTCGGAGTTAAATTTGTGGATAATTTTCCTAAAATAAATCTTGAAATAAATAAAAATTTATTAAAAATAACTGCTTCAATTGGTCTGTGCTTTGATGAATATTTATCAAATTGTTTAGGTTTTAATTTTATAAAACATATGATCCCTATTAATAAAACATGGCCTAAAGGGAAAGAAATAGAATTAGGTGTTGAGTATACATCACCAGATATTGTTTATACAGTAATAGGAATAAAAACTCCAAAATTTTACACTCAAAGCTTCTTAAAAGACATAAAAGGCAATATTGAAACAGAAAATAACAAAACTGTAATAGAAAAGAGAAATTACACTATTGATCAATTAAATAAATTACTACCGCCAAATATAAAAATATTACAAACAAATAACTATATTACAATTAAATCTAATGTTTATTATTTATTGGATGAGAATTTAATATCCAGCTTAGGATTAGGTAATATATATAACTATAAACATATTGGCTCGGATATTATACTCGGTAATTATTTTGAAAATAAAATTATCGAAGTACATTGTAATATAATTGAAAATTCCATTTCTAACCATAAAACTGAGCAATATTTACATATAGACGATGATATTTTATGTATTATTAAATGTGATACGGGTGGCCAATATATAACTAATGGCATTAAATATATTCCTGTAAATGTAATAGATTTTAAACATATTAAATTATTTATCACCGATCAAGATGGTATTGAAATAATATGTAATGACTTTGTTGCATATTTAATTCTAAAAACATAGATCTAGATAGTTCTATAACACAATGTTTTAACGTTCACCCCATACGGGTGAGCGTCAGATACTTTGTAAAATAAATTCTATATTTGACGCATGCGTAAATATCGCACACGTCATTTAATTATATTGTGTTCTTAAATAGGCATACCTTTTTCCATTAAATTATCAATACGCTCATAGCAGAATAAATTATCTGGCCTATCTAACATGTTTAATAAAGATATTAAAATATAAGTACTTTTGGGCGTATTTATTATATTTTTATATTTTTTAATTAACAAATTAAGAATTTTTTTCTTTTGCTTAACTATATTATCAATATTTTCAATACCTTTATTATTAATAATAATTCTTTCTTTTTTAGCCAAAGATTCCAATTGTTTATAAAGTTTACCCATTATTTAAATATAAATTTATATATTGATATTATTATTATATATTTATTATATTTAGATGTATAAAATCTATATTTAACACGTCCCCCAAAAAGGGACATGTTTTTAATTTTATTTTATAGCTATTATAAATAATCATATTTAAATGGAAACGTATTTAGAGAAAAATATGTTAGTTTATAGAAAAAGTTACAATTATTATTCAAAAGTCAGTTTTTGTTTACTAGCTTTAAAACTGTTTCTAAGTACAATTGGCCCAATTGGTTATTTTGTATTACCTTTATTAACAATGTTTTCGTTATTAAACGGAATTATAGAAATTTTTGAAAAATCTTATAAGCTTAATGAAAGAATTATAGAATACAGAATTTGTTATAAATTTTATAATCAATTGATATTGCTGTATAAATCTAATAAAATAATCGAGGATGGTATATGTTTAAAAGAAGCAGATTTTAAAGAAACTATTAACTTTTTCCCTAGAGAAAAATACTTAAAACAGACACAACTTAACGGCTACAAGTATACAGCATAATTAAACATTATATTAATTTAATTTCTTATAAATGGGAAATATATATTGTGTTAAATGTAAACAAAAAACAGATAATATTAATCCACATATAATTATGACTAAAAATAATTTGAAAAGAATGTCTGCAAAATGTAAAAAATGTAATTCTTTAAAAAGTTGTTTTATTAAAACATAATATTGTATAGGTACAGTGTATTCTAATATATATCTTTAATTTAGCCGCAACTACAGTTGCGCGGGTATACATATATATATATATGTAATTCATGTCTATTTTTAACATTCACCCCATACGGGTGAGTGTTAGATCCACCTTACATATAAATATATATATATAATATATACAATTTAGTCGCAAGTGTAGTTGCGCGGGCATAATTAATAATTTCTAATTTTGACGCGG